AGGTCATCTCAGAGCAGTCATAGGAGAGAAGTTTGCTTTAGCTTCAGACATATTGTCTCAGGCCTAGTGCATTGTGATTATACAGAACATCTATATAATATATAAATATGTTAGAACCAATTATATGTAGTTATATATTATGTATGTATTATATATACACTATGTTAGAACATATATATATATAAATATGTTAGAAACAATTCTAGGTTTAATATCTGCTCAAGATAACTCTAGATTCCAGTCAATTACATTTAGACCAAGCTCATCTTAAAATTTTGCAGCTCAGACTCCCACATCAGTCAACAATAAACAATATCTAAATAATAAATATTTATAAAGAGTCTATTGGACGCAAGGATCAGTCCTTTTCAAGGACTTGCAGTAGACAATTACAAACCAAATGTAGAATCTTGGAAGTGAGTCAAATTTATCAAGAGCCTTGAGGAGTCAAGAAATAAGACCGATTAACTAGAATAATTATGTTACTCTGCCTTCTACTCTCAGTTACTATCATCAGGATGAACTTTTCTAAATATAATTGATTTGCCCCCATGCTTTTATTTGCCAATCAACAAATAATGCAGAATTTACTATGTCTCAAGCACATATTTGCTAGGTGACGGCAACACAGAGGGAACAAAGTAGATCCAGTTCCTGCCTTCTGAAACTTACAAACTTAGTAGGGGAAGACAGACAATAAAGAAATTGTATATGTGGTTAACATTATGAAGGAACACTGTGAGAACATATACTGATGGTACCTAATCTAGTCATTTGGGAAAAGAAGGAATCTTGGTTTTAGTCAAACTAAATTCTTCAAAACATTTAATAGTTATTAACACATATAACGATTACACCACAGTTCATCGTGTAAAATTCTCAGAAATTGGCCATTTTCAATTTTTCTCTGAATTTCATTATTTTGCATAAAAATTTTTGAGGGTGAGCATTTTTTCAAATTGTCTTTTAGGCTCTCCAAGAATGAAACTCTGAAAATTCCTAGGGTGCTGTTTTGGCACCCAGTTCTGCAAATATCTCTTCTTGACCGATTACAGTTCAGATCTGACACCAAAAATCTTCCAAGCCATCTGTCTTCCTCGGTTCCACAGAAAGACCTTTAGACCAAATTCCTGGTTTTCTTTCTCTCCAACTTTAAACATTTGTGAATTTGCTTTATACATGAATAATGCAAACTTGGTAAAGCATCATCTCTGGTAAGAACTTTTGTAACTCTCCAGCATAAACAAAATTAAACCACTCAGATGACAAAACAGTAAGTCATTTCCCAGAACATCATGGGAACTCAGTAAAATGAGGTGATAGAAACTAAAAGAAGTAGATCAAAATTAACAAAAAAAGAAGAGAACAATGTCTTGAGGAAGTGAAATTAAAAACGTAATTTGCCAAAGACACTGAACTATATAAAATGACCATGTAAAGATATTGGGTATAAGGAGAACACGGGTTTCTAAATCATTTAATCTAATTGTATATTTAAAAAAATACAGACTAGATGCCCAGTCACCATGGGATTTTTAGAGACTCATGTGACTGAGTTGCCTGAAACATGGTGGAAAAGAAAGTTAAGATAGTTGTTTATTTTATTTTTTCTGTGTCAGCACTACATTCAGAGCCAAGTTACTCCAACAGATGCGCCGGTCTTAATTTAGGTTCTTACTATATACATGTAAAACACTAAAGTCTTTGGTATTCCTTGATTATTTCATTTAATTATTCAATGATCAATCATTTTTCATAATTTTTAAAATTATTTTGTTTGCTTCATTCTTACACTGTCCCTTATTTAATAAATTAATCTGGGGATAAAGGAGTAAATTAAGAATCATTTGGAACATGGTAACTACTAAATCTTGTCCACTTTTCATTTCTTTAAATTTTTATTTAATCTTATTGCTAGATTCAGACAGTCAAACTCTGAAGCCCATGAGTTTAGAGCAAGTGAGCGAAGAAGCTGGGGCAGAAAAGAATTCTGTTCCAGAGGCAATGATAACACTTTTCTCTTTCCAAGACAGTAGAGCCAGACGTGGTTCCCAGGGCTTGTGCTTGTGGCACTATCCAGAACCAGCATTGGCCTTCATTGTTCCTCCACAACAAAAGAAATATCCTGCTAGACTGTCCCAGATGGAAGTTCGACTATGGTTGTCATCTGTCACCTTTCTTGGTGCCTGCCCATTTCCCATGTCTGATTCTCCAGATAGTCTGGCAATTCTGTGAATTACTCAACATCCTTTTAATAAAATCCTTGCTATCTAAACCAGCCAGACTTGGTTTCTATTTCTAGCCACAAAGTACCCTAAGTAAAACAGGGAGATTTACTGTATGCTCAGACCATTAGTGTACAATTTTCTGGGTGCTGCTGGATGGTGCCCTAAATTTATAACTTACATTTATTTTTTAGAAACCAAAAGTAACAGGTAAAATAGAGTTGGACTCATTGTACTGGATAGATTGGTCTCATTCTAACACCAGATTTCAGGTAGTCATAGGAATTCCATTTAATAAGCCTGAAGTTAAACACAGTAATTTTGAAAAAGGCCCTTTTTGAGTTATTATATATACCTAGATTGAAATTTCTGGGATTAGATACAGTTCAGCCCAGGTTCATTGGATCTTACATATTCCTTGACTAATTTTTCATATCTTTTTTTGTCTGTTATATTTCTGCTAAAGCGAAAATGGTATCTGGAATGAATATTATGAAATTCTCCTCATTTCTCCAATTGTTGGCTGGCATAACCTGAAGGAATTTATTCCTCCTCCAAAGTATTTAGTTTAACTTTATATGGCATAGGAAATTTTGATACAAAAATCTAAAATTATTCTCCAGTTTGAGTTAAGAATACACTCAGTCGTGAATAGCAAAAAACCTTACCACAGTGGCTTAAACAATAAGTGGAATATTTAATAATTTAACAAGGAGTCTAGACTAATCCTTCACCTTAACAATGCCATCAGGAATCCAAGAACCTTCCAGTTTCCTGCTTCGCCATTCTTCGCTTATGGTTTTTCCTCTCGATGGTCATGGTTGCAAGAAGTTCTGCACTTCCAAGTGTCATGTTCATGGTCAAAGCAGAAAGAACAGCAGGGGGTGAGGCAAAAGCCTTTTCCTGGAAAGAAATTTTTTTTAATTAGAAAAAAATGAAACTCTCCTTGGAAACTTCTGCCTTCGTATTATTATCCAGAACTATGCTCATGATCACTTCCTATTCTGTTTCGGAGAGATCCCTTACACCTGGGACTGCATCAGAACCATACTGTTCTATGGTAGATTTGAAATGTAAATCCACATCATGTTCCTACATGTCCATCCCATACCCTGAGCTGAAAAAAAATCCCTCGGAGCATTTGTCAATCTGAACAAGGAAAGCTGGAAATTCAATATTAGCTTTCCAGCTCCATGATTCAAAAAGGCAAGGAATTAAGGAGTTCAAATTGAGTATTAAATGAGTCAGTCTACAGTATCTGCTGTGCCTCATGACCCAAAACACAGTTCTGATCAAGTAGAGCCAATGATTCCAAGGCCTTAATGGAAACGTGACCATATTTTCGGTTTGTGTTTGTTGTTATTTATTTGGCCCATAGGACACTAAGTAAATCATATTTCTCATTATAAAGGACACATTCGCCAACATTCCTCTCTAGCTTATTGTGTATTTTATTTTAATTATCTGCATTAGATATCTATTGCTACATAACAAATTACACTAAAAGTTAGCAGCTTAAAACAACTAATGTTATTATCACACCATTTCTGTGAGTCAGGATTTCAGATGTGGCTTACCTGAGTATCTCTGTCTCATGGTCTTTCTCACAAGGCTGCAGCCAATATTTGTCAGCAGGGGCTGCAGTCTCATCTAAAGGCTCAGCTGGGGGAGGACTGACTTGTACACTGACGCGTGATTATTGGCAGGGTTCAGTTTCTCTATGGCTATTGCCAAAGGCCTCCTTTAGGTAACTTGCACTGTTGGCCTTTCCATAGCACTGCTCACAGCATGACATCCGTCTTCTCCTAGAGAAAGCTAGCAAGAGAATGAAAGAGAAGGAAAGCAAGGTGAAAATGATAGCTTCTTTGTAACCTCATCTCAGAAGGGATACTTCATAACCTTTGCCATGTTCTATTTATTAGAAGATGAGCACTAGGTACAACTCACATTCAAAGTGAGGAAATTACAAAAAAGTATGAATAAGAGTCAATGATTCATTGTTCAGCCATTTTAGAGGTTGCCTATCACATTGTCTATATATTAACAATCAATTGGGTATCTTATTTTCTCTACCTGAGAGTCTCTGTGATTTGATGTGCATTTTTAATCTATTTACATATACTTTAAATACTGTCATATGATAATTTATTCCTGTCATTTTATTTCACATTTTCTACATACCATCCTTACTTCTTGTTAATTTTTTTCTCTCTTTTAGCCCTTCATTGATAGATTTTTTTCATTCTGCTTTGAAAATTAAAGTTCAATGTCTATTTTTTATTGTTTTTTGCTAATGTATTAAATCTTGTACTTAATTTTTTTAGAGCTCATTAATATCTATTTATTACAAAACAAAGACCTCAGACAGCTACCAAAATTTTCTGATCACTACTTGCTTCCTACTCCTGAACATATACTGGTATATCTAGAACTTTCTATTTACGTTATTATGGCATTATGTTATACAATGTAATTACCACTAACTACACATGGCTATTCAAAATGTGAATTCATTAAAATTAAATTAAAAGCTCAGTTTCTTGGTCACATTAGTCACAGTTCATGTCTTAATAGCCACATATACTAGGGACTGTCATACTGGACAGCACAAATAGAACATTTCCATCACAACAGAAAGGTCTATTGGATAGAACTACACCTGGAAATCATGTACTTTGGCTTAAGATACATACAAATAATTACACGAAGTTTTTTAGGCATTGCTTACTCTTTCTAAACTCATTTATTATCTCTGTAGTGTACCTTCTTTAGAAAGATTTTTATAAATATTTATGTGTCTTTGCTTTGTATGTGTATCTCAGATGCCTTTATTTTAGTCAACTTAGCATTTAAATAATAGTTTACTTGCATATAGAATTCTAGTTTTGAGATTACTGTTCTTTAATATTTTTAAATCATTAATGTTCTATTGTTGCCATTGAGAATTTTGATGTCAATTAACGTATTGTAATATTTTACTTTTTTCTAGACCCTTTCAAAATTTTGTCTTTGATATTTTAAATTAAATATAATCTATCAAGATTGGGGTTTTTTCTAATCAATGTTGTCTTTTGCTCTATGGGCCCTTTCTATCTAATTTTTCTATCTTTCTTTAATTCTCAGCCATTATTTCAACAACAAAAAAATCTGTTCCATTTAGCTTTATCTAATAGATCAAAGTTGATCTTTCTATTTCTATCTTTTTTATATATTTTTGTTCTTCTTAGGGTTTTTTGGTTTTGTTTTTGTTTTGTTTTGTTTTGTTTTTGTTTTTTACTTTCTATTTCTTTATTGTATCTTCTAGAAAAATTCCATACCTAGATCCTTGAACTCACTGATTTGTTCTTTGGCTATATCCTTTCTGCTGTTATACATTTTATTCCTACCTCCATTTGCTTCTTCTTCACTGATTGTTTCTGTTTTGTATTTATATGCCTTCCCCTCCTCTCTGAAGATACTTATTTATTTAAAATTTTTGTTTAATCTGAGTCATAATTCACCTCCCTCTAGTAAGGTCCATCAGTACTTACTTTTCTTTTAAAGGGCTAGTACTCCTCCTCAGATGTCAATTGTGTTAGAACTATTAATTACCTTAGCTAGTAGCACTTATTTGGGAGTAGAAATAAAAGCTTAGACCTAGCATGTGCTCTCCTCCTGGTACATTTAAGAGGTATAAAAATTACTTAGAGAAAATTACTTTATTATTGCAAATCTGGAAGCTTCTATTTTTATCCCAAATCACAACCCTGCCCCTCACTGAACTCTCCATTACTTCTGCCCAGGCACTACTCTTTCTGGGGTCTGCTTCTCTCTGTTGTAATTATCTTGTTCATTAAGCAAGGGGAGGGAACTCCCTCCCCCACTTGAGATGGTAGCAATAGTGCTCCTGTCCAACACTCTCGTGTTACCTGCCCCAGCCGCTGGTGCTGGCAGAAGGCTGCTGTGTCACCTCACTACAGGGCATAGGGAGAAACAGCGATCCTTCCAGGGCAATGTAGGATGAAGAAATGCAGACATTCAGAAAGCTCCTAATCACAGCAGCCCTGTCAGTGACATCTGGTTCTCTCCCAATTTAGACTGCTGTTCACCTCCCAGAAAATGACCTTAACACCCTTTGTTACCACTGGAGTTGTTGTACAGGTTCTGTTTTCATGTCTCCTCTCAGCTACTTGTGTAGTGTTTCCAGGTTGAGCTTAGGGAAGGGAGCCAGCCTCCTTTGCTAGTTTGCTGTCTTGTCCAGAAGTCTCAGCATGTTGGTCAAAGTTTATACTCTGACCTGATTCAGACATGGCCATAGGCCCAATTAAGCAAAGAACAAGGGGTGCCTTAATGTGAAAACTTTCCGGGAAATAAAGCACTCCACAACTTAGAAGCAAACTTTCATATGCCTATCTTCATTGAAAACTGGACCCAGGAAAAACTCCACTTGGAGAAAGCCTGAAATGTGTTATACATTACTGATTTTCATTATTTCAAATTTTGAAAGCAAAACTATTTATATTTTCCCCCAAATTATAAATATAGAATACTGTTTCAGCCCCTCAAAAAATGCCCTACTCTTACTATCTAAATGGTAGAAATAAGTTATCAACAACCAAAGATACAACTAATAACTACTAACTTATCAGCAAAGTTTTATACTTTTACCAATCAGTTTCAATTAATATTTACATGCCAGGCATTTCCAAGTATATTATCTCAGTGTTTTTGCCAGTCACCCTGAGAAACATCCTTAGAGTTAAAGAAAGTTTAAAAGAAGTTGTGATTTGTCCAAGGTCACCCAGGTAATAAATGTTAGCACAGAGGTTGAAATGTAAGTGGAATTCTCTTTGATATTGTCTTAGTTGCATTTATGTTGTTTAAATGACCTTATGGATACACATCAGAAGATAAAGGTAGTTACTCAGGAAATATTTATATTTGTCAAAATCTGTCTTGGATATACACCTGGAAATCATGTACTTTGGCTTAATATTTTATTCATATTTTTCCTTAAGGCTTTGTTTTAATTTACATATTATTTCAGAAACATATTGCTACCTCTCTGGGGGTAAACATGTGGTGTTTTCAAGATGAAGTCATACAAACGAGCAGCTGGGCTCTATAGTTTCCCCGTGCAAGCATTATTCATGGAGTTTCCATTTAAGCAATAAGAAAAGACTTTTCTCCCCTTCAGGGATTGGAACAGAGGCTAAGATGAACCTCAGTTATAATCAGGTAATGAGTAACTCAGAGCAGAGAGCAATAGAAGTCTCATAATAACACCTAATGAACCAAATTAGATAAATACACATTTACATATTTTGTACGCCCAAATATTCAGGTCAGAGATTTTTCCTCTAAAAAAAAATTGTACCTTAGAAAAGAGGGAATCACCTTTTATTTTAGAACTTACAGAATTAGTTAGCTTAGAGGATACCATTTCAGTTACTTTATTATGAATGACAAAAAATGGTTTAAGGCAGACAAATTCTACAAAAATGACCTATCACTGCTAGTTTTGGATGCTTATGGAAATATGCTTCAGAATTGTTTGAAAATTATTTTAACAGATATAATCATTATTTCTGGAGATATGTGACCAATTACAAGTGAACACTATAAATATACATTTCAAATGAATGGAAAAAATAATTCTTAATATTGTGTGAATTGACACTGTGGCATGGAGTAACATTTCCAATGACAACATCATATATAATTCAAAAGGACAACTTTTCGTGTTCACTTTGGCAGCACATATACAAAAGGACTACTTGTCAAAAATAGATAGAATATAAAATGACATATGTGGTAGGAGAGAGCTACAAAAAAGTACAAAAAGTACTGCTCAGATATTAGATTATGTGATAATTGGATTTTAAATGTGTAGATACTTATGTTGATTAAACGTTTTTAATTAGATAGTTGACTATTTTATCTGCATGCCCAAATGTTCAAGATGAGAAAAAAAATAATTTAAGGATATCCTTAGTAAGAGTGTTTTTTACTCAAGGACAACTAATATTTGGGCATCTGCACTAAAGCTCCAAATCTGTGCCATATACAAAGTGATGGAGTTCAGCCCAGTGAAATGAGCCATCGTGCCATCTGCCCTAGAAGCAGCAATCACACTGAGAGAACATGAAAGAAGAATAAACACAATCAGGTGTAGGACAATTCTGCAGGTTTCAAGTAAAATCTTTTGTTTGACTCACTTTACTGAACCAATGTATTGGCGATGTTATTAATTGAGTTATAAATAAAAATTATTTTAATTAAATTGAAATAAGTTAAAAGAAAATAAATATTGAAGCAACAGCCATCCAAATATATTGTTGATTCTCACTGAGGATATAATCTACTCAGGAGCAAAAAAGATCATTATTAGACAGGGAGATTCTTCCCATTTACCCAAAATAAGAGAATCTAGATTAGAGGGCTAGGTAGGAAATTTAATTTTGCCTCAAAGTCAACAACTGACAGAACCAAGATGACTATCACAATGCAATCTGCAACATTTCTCAAAAAAAAAAACAAAAAAAACTGATGATCATGTCAATAGAAAAATCTTGACAACAAAAACAAAAACTGTCTGCTAATACATAACAACCAATGAAATAAAGCCTATTCCAACTTGATAAAATTAGGTCCACCAGCACAATTTCATCCACCCCTACTCAAACTTTCCAAGTTTTTGTCTGCAAAAATCAGATCTTAACCTAGATCAGGATTCTCAACCTTAGCACTATTGATATTTGGACCCAGTAATTCTTAATTGTGGGGGCTGTCCTGTGCGCTGTAGGTTATTTAGCTGCGTTGTTGGCCACGACCTA